TCCTTCTGCCTAGTCCGCCATCTTGCCGGAACTGTAAATTATCTTTTAAAGGACCATTTGGATATGACTCAATAAACAAAGGTGTTCTGAACTATACAGGCATGACATTATTCACATCTTACATACATAGCTCTTCAAAAGCTTTACTTTGTAAAATGGTTGAATGACATTTGAATCATTCACATGTTGTAATGGCCTAAGTCTGTATTAATTTCTGAGAATTTTAAGCAACTATAAAAGACAAAATAAAGTAAGGTGCTAAATTAATTACCCAGTTATAAATCATTCAAGAAGCTTCATTATGTTTGTATACTAACAATAAAACCTTGAATGTGTTGGAGATTTTATAACAAATTTTTATCATCCTTCTTCGTATAAAGATGGCTTCTTCTTCCCTTCAAAGCCATACTTCCACATATTTTTAGGCCCTAAAGATACTGTCTCTATCCTCTCTGAAAAAATACTGATAGAATTTAAATGATAAAATTCGTCAGATAATAGCCAAAATATTGAATTTATTATCTTAGTTATTTTTCTTAAGTGTTTATTTATGTTAAATTTGTTGATACTATTGCTGTGAGCCTTGGTGGAGTAGTGGTTAAAGCATTTGGCTCCTAACCGAAAGGTGGGTGGTTTGAACCCATCAGCTACGTTGCAGGAGAAAGATGACACAGTCTACTTCCGTAAAGATTGACAGCTTTGGAAATCTTATGGGGCAGTTCTGCTCTGCCCTATAGGGTTGTTGTTAGGATTGATTTGATGGCTATTGTTGCTGTTGTCAGACCCAATTCATAGCGACCCCTCCTTGGGTTTCTTAGGCGATATCACTATGGAAGTAGATTGCCAAATCTTCCTTCTGAGGAGTGGCTGGTGGGTTTGACCTGCCAGCCTTCTGGTTAGCAGTCAGATTCCTTAGGCAATCTACTACCAGGTTTGATGGCAGTAGGTTTTAATTGTTGTGAAGGTATGTTGGCCTTCAGAAACTAAGGTATTTTAAGGGCAGAAGAAATAATGTGGAGATAATGTAAGATATATATTTTATATGTATAATTATATATGCGTTTTCACCCCCAGTAAAACTTGTTTTTTATGTGACACCAAATTTTATCATATCTGTATGATATAGTACTTCATAGTACTTTATTAGAATGTTAGTGGAAAAAAATGTACAACTGATGTTTTCTTGTTCACAGGAAAGGAGGCAATAATAAATTAATAAAGATCTATCATCGGGATGGTAAATATGGCTTTTCTGATCCTCTGACATTTAATTCTGTGGTGGAGCTCATTAACCACTATCATCATGAATCTCTTGCTCAGTACAATCCCAAACTTGATGTGAAGCTGATGTACCCAGTGTCCAGATACCAACAGGTATGATTACAGAAGTTCTTGATAGCTTCTTAGTAAGCTATGATTTAATATCATAATTAGTTTCTAGCTTATCAGTTAAAAAAAGAAAAAAAAATCTAGTTTTCCAAGGAACTCTGGTGGTATAACAGTTAAGACGTTTGGCTGTTAACTAAAGGATGGCACTTCAAATCTACCAGCTGTTCCTTGGGAGAAAGATGAGGCAGAGTCTGCTTCCATAAAGTTTAACAGCCTTGGAAACTGTGGGACAATTCTAGTCTATCCTATAGGGTTGCTATGAGTCAGAATTGACTTGATAGTAGTAGTAAGCATTTACAATATTTTTGGAATTTATTTTGTGGCTACCTTTCTTAAATAGCTTATTGTATATATTTATTAACCATATTTCTGTTAACAACAAAAGGCAGATAACCCAATCATAACGTGTTCAAAGGGCTTTAATAGACATTTCACCAAAAAGGACATTCAGATGGCTACCAAGCACATGAAAAGATGGTTAATGTCATTAGTCATCAGAGAAATGTAAATCAAAACCACAGTGAGAAAACTTTTCACTCTCACTAGGCTGGCTAAGATTTGAAAAAAGAAGAAGAAAAAAACCACAAAATAACCAATATTGGTGAAGATGTGGGGAAATTGGAACCTTTATCCATTGCTGTCAGGATACAAAATAATATATAGTCTTGTGAAGAGAGTGTGGCAGTTTCTCAAAAAAACCCTAAAAATAGAACTACCATCCCAAACAAACAAACTCACTGCCATTGAGTCATTTCTAACTCATAACGACCCCTATTGCGTTTCTGAGGCTGTAAATCTTTATGGAAGTAGATTGCCCCATCATCTTTCTGTGGAGTGGTTGATGGGTTTCAGTTGCTGATGTGCTGGTTAGCAGCGAAATGCCTTATCCACTACAACACCAGAGCTCCTTAGAAATACCACATAACCCAACTGTTGAAGTTCTGGTAGCATAGTGGAAACAGCATTTAGCTGCTAACCAGAAGGTCAGTGGTTCAAACCCACCAGCTGCTCCACGAAAGGAAGATGGGCAGTCTACTTCTGTAAAGATTTACAGCCACGGAAACCCAATGGGGGTCACTATGAGTGGGAATTGACTCAATGGCAGTGAGTTGTTGTTGTTGTTATGTGTTGTCAGATTGGCCCTGACTCATAGTGACCCCTCGGTTTTCTGAGGCAGTATCACTACAGAAGTAGGATCGCCCAACCTTCCTTCCGAGGAGTGGCTGGTGGGTTTGAACCGCCAGCCTTTTGGTTAACAGTCAAGTATCTTAGGGACTATGCTACCAGAGCTCCTTATGACCCAGCAATTCCACTGCTAGGTATATACCCAAAAAACTTGAAAGCAGAATCTTAAACAGAGACTTGTACACCAGTACTCATGGTATCACTACAGGCATACCTAGGAAATGTTGTGGGTTCAGTTCTTTTAGCAACTGAGTGACTAAAGTGACTCTGGCAATAAAGCAAGTCATGTGAATTTTTTTTGTTTCCTAGAGCGTATAAAATTTATATTTACATTATACTGTAGTCTATTAAGTGTGCAATAACATGAAATAATTTGAAATATTGTGAGAATGAACCATAATGTGACAGAGACACGAAGTGAACACATACTGTTTGAAAAATGGTGCCAATTTATGTGTTCAATGGAGGTTTGCCACAACTCTTCAGTTTTAAAAAAGTGCAGTATCTGTGAAGCACAGTAAAGTGATGCACAACAAAATGAGGTATGCCTGTATTTACAATAGCCAAAACATGGAAACAACCTACATACCCATCAGTGAATGGGTAAGCAAAATGTTGTACATACATACAAGGGAATACTACTCAAACAATAGGAGAAATGAAATCTTGATAACCCGCATGACCTGTTGCCATCAAGTAGATTCCAACTCATAGAGCCCTTATAGACTACGGTAGAACTACCTTGTAGAGTTTCCAAGGCTGTAAATCTTTATGGAAGCAGACTGCCACATCTTTCTCCCATGGAGTGACTATTGGATTTGAACTACCAATATTTCTTTTAGCAACTGAGTGCTTAATGACTGTGCTACCATAGATATGAAATCTTGATACACGTTACAGTAGAGATGGAGCTTGAAGACATTATACTGAGTAAAATACGTCAGTTAAACAGGACAAATATTATATTATCTTAGTTATGTAAAAAGATAAGAACTAGAACATGTAGAGAATAACATTTATTAGTGGTTACCGGGGTGGGACTGCTAACCAGAAGGCTGGCAGTTCAAACCCACCAGCCACTCCTCGAAAGTAAGATGGGGCAATCTACCGGGGTGATACTGCCTCGAAAACCCAAGGAGGGGTCACTATGAGTCGGGTCTGACTCGACAGCACATAACAACACAACAACAACAGGGGTGGGACACCACTCATCTGTCAGTTTGTAGTACTCTGGTGGCTTACATGTTGCTGTGAGGCTGGAAGGTATGCTGCTGGTATTTCAAGTACCAATAGGGTCACCCATGGTAGATAGGTTTTAGTGGAGCTTCCTGACTAAGACAGACTACAAAGAAGGGTGGGGCCATCCACGTCTGAAAAAAATTGTCTATTTAAAACCTTATAAATAGCAGTGAAACACTGTCTGATATATTAGTAGAAAATTTTATGAATAGCAGTAAAATATTGTATAGTGCTGGAAGATGAGACCCTCGGGTTGGAAGGCATTCAAAATATGATTAGGGAAGAGCTGCCTCCTCGAAGTAGAGTTGACCTTAATGATGTGGATGGAGTAAAGCTCTCAGGACCTTAATTTGCTGATGCAACTTGACTCAAAATGAGAAGAAACACCTGCAGACATTCATTAAAAATGGAACATGGAATGTACAAAGTATTAAAAAAAAACCAAAAACAAACATGCAACCACTGCCATGGAGTCAGATCTGACTTATAGCGACCCCTCCTTGGGTTTCCGAGGTGGTATCACTACAGAAGTAGATTTCCTCAACCTTCCTTCTGGGTGGTGGCTGGTGAGTTTGAACTGCCAGCCTTCTGGTTAGCAGTCAAATGCCTTAGGGACTATGCCACCAGAGCTTCCATACAAAGTATACATCTAGGAAAGTTGGAAGTTGTCAAAAATGAAATGGAGTGGTATGATGGCAGAATAGGCAGACAAGCTACGCAGACCCTCATCAACAAAGAAAAGATAAACCAATTGACAGAAATATGGAAGATAATCCTGGAGTCCTGAGCTTTGAAAGGAAGTATATAGAAGTGGATTTGGCACCAGCTAGTGGAAAAACCTGAATGAAAACAATGAGTACAGAGACGGTTGAAGCAATGGACTGTCACCTACTCTGACAGGACCATCATCTTGAATATTTCTAAGTGGTGTTCGGACCTGAGAATTGACCTAAAGGTCAGCCCTGGTCACCAAGGGCTTCAGGGACGACTGCCCTGGTAGCCTCTGACTAGGAAGAGAAACAGCAAGGTGGGAGACAACCTGAGCTGTGGACTTTCATCTCTCAGAGGGTGCAGCCATTTTGGATATTTAAAGTGACCGAGAGTACAGCCATTTTGAATGTTTACAAGTGGTGGCCATATTGGATTTTAAAGTGACAGCATTCTCATTCAGATTCCAGGGACCTAAGAGTAGGCTCCATTTGCCAAGAACGGCAGGGACATACAGGATACTGGCAATGGGAAAGGAGACAGAGGGTGGTGAGTGTGTAAGTGCTGCCAGCTAGTGAATAGAGGCGCCCAGTATCCTGCTTACTTAGATAAAATCCAAAGAAAATGAAAATTGTGGGCAAATCACTTCAGCATACAATCACTAATTAAATATAAACACAAAAATGTCACAATGCCTCAGAAACAACAGAACATCACAGTACACACAAAGAAGCAAGACAAATCAGAAGAAACAAGGGACAGGATATAGACCCAGAACACATCTGTGAGGAAGAAGCAGCATTGGAACTCCCTCATAAGGAATTAAAAAAAATTATATTTAGGTACCTTCAATGGATTGAGAAACAGATCAAGGAAAACTGACGAGATGGAGGACAACACAGAGAAAATCCCAGAACAATTTTGAAAGACAATACAGGAACAAAATGACAAAATAAATGAGAAGTTAGAAGTGATAAAATATGTATAGGTGGAAATCCAGAAGATTAATGCTAAATTTTTAGAAATAGATAACACATTGAACAGTGTGGTAGTTGTGTTTGTGTGTCAACTTGGCTGGGCCTGGTGAAGTGGCTGGGCAGCTGCTGGTAGTTATTCTCCATGATGAGACTGGCAATCAGCTCCACTGTGGGATCTACCACAAGCAGCTGAGTAGCTGCCTTTGGGATGTGGTCTGCTTCTTGTATATAAGGAGAAGGCTTGGTAATGGTCTGTAGCCTATGGCACGCTTGGACCCTGCATGTAGCCATGTCGTTGTTCAGCAGCCTGCCATGCTTTGCCAACTTTGGGACTTACAATAGACTTGAATTACTGGCCTGCCATGTGATTTGGTAACATCAGGACTGTGCCTTTTTACTTGTCAACCTTGAGTTTGTCAGCCTCAGCAGCCAGCAGCTGTCTGAATGAAGAAATACCTCTAGCTCCAGTGGGCTGGGAGCAGGAGGCAGAGCTGGACCCCAAGATTGAGGGACTTTCATCTAGCCCCTAGAGCCTGGCACTTTGAACTTGGACTTAAAGCCTCCAAACTGTAAGATAATAAACTCCTGTTTGTTAAGGCCATCCCATTTGTGGTTTATTCTTATCAGAGTGGCACTAGATAACTAGAACAAATGGGCAAAGGAGTATAATCAAATCAGTGGTAGAAGACAGAATTAGTGAGATTGAAGACAAATACCTTAATACTTCTTTGGAAAGGGATCAGTCAGAGAAAAGATCAAAACAAAATGAAGAAAGCCTAAGGTTCATGTGGGATACCATAAAAAGGAATAAGCTACATAAAATTGGAATTCCACAACAAGGAGAGACAAATAAAACCACAGAGAAAATGATCGATG